AAACCAAGTTACACAGACCGTCCTGATTTGTACCTTGCTTCTCTTCAAACTCTGCTTGTTGCTCTTTTAATAAAGTTTAAAAAAATAATGAAAAAAAAAAATCCATTTGTACATCTGAACATGAACCGAGGAACAGGATATCTACAGGTCACCAAAAACCCTGGAACCAGACCTTGCTGTACAGGAAAGTCTTTTTGAGTCCTTTTGGAGGTTGTTTACTAAATGAATTCAGAGCTACATTGTACAAGGTACCCTAAAGCCGCTTAATGACACAAGAGGATCTGGAATTCATTATTCATAGTTACTATAGAGAAAGGGAAGCTTTTCAGACCCATACTCTGTTTTGACAGAACAGGTAGCTGCCCAGTGCTCCAGCACCCTGGCTACACGACAAAGTGCTCCTGACGATGGGGAGGTCGGGCTCTGTTGTGCAGAGAGCAGAACGCCGAGGGAAATCCCACAGGGAAATACTTACTAAGAATTGTCCTTCCTACTAGAGTGCTGCAGTCAAAACATAAATGGGTTCTTGAGCCAGTCAACCTACCAGAAGTGACTCTTTTCTCTGCTACTTTCTTTCAGTATTTTTCTTAAATCCTGTTCCAGTCTCTTGTAAGTACGCATCATGTGCAGTTCTTAGAGCTTCATCGCTACATCCAAGCAAGAAACTACAAGGGGGCAAACATACAGCTTCCCAATATCGCTAAGTAAAAGCGATTTACAAGCCCAAAACATCATACCCAGCAGCAAGAAGAAAAGCCAGATTAATCCCATGTAGGACAACATTTCCCAGCAAATCAACCCCCCGGGGAACACAAAGAAACATCGGTCAAGTGCCCCTGGGCAGCACCCCCTTAGTTTTCGTGGAACATTCAGGTTACCAAAGTTACACACACAGTTACAGGTTCTAGACAACGTAAGTCCTGATGTGTTTCAGACATCACTGCGCTTTTCATCTAATGCAGCTCACAGCTCTTTTAGCTAAAGTGAAAAACAGGGAAATGTTTTATGACTGAAGTGAAGATCGTAACAGAGAATCAATGAAACACGTTTGCTTTAAAGTAACAGTAGCCCATTAGCGATGGTGGCAAAAACTGAAGGAGACAAACCAAGTCGGCTGAAGGAGGAATGGTTTCCTTCCCTTCAATACCTGTGCTACTACCCAATGATTTTTTTCATAGCTAAGCACCTTCAGCTCTCAGAGCTCAAGGGAACAGACAAATACCCAGTATGTTTCAAATGCAGACAGGCAATTTTCATACAGCAAAAAAACCCACAACCCTGTCTTGTCTATTTGATTGTCACCATCCAGGCTGCATTTCCCTTCTCTAAGAGGAGCATACTGTATGGACAAAAGACCCAACACTGAAAAAAAAATAAATAAAATCTTCTGTTGGACTTTCAGTGAATGTGCACACTGGAGTGATTCAGATGTGGCCTTTCATGGCCAGAAGGAATGTTACAGTACTTAAAGATACGTGGTGGATGCACACTCATGCTAGAGAGAGTCCACTTAGCCTAGAAAAATACATCTTCCACATTACTAGCTCCAAGACAAAATACTGCAATGCAGCAAATTTTTACAACATGCTCCCAGGGTATGCCAGCATGGAAATCCAGGAACAGGACACTCAGCTGGAGAGAATCGCTGAACAATGCACCGCACAGATCGTGACATGCTGAGTTAGATGACAATATGAAAGAGCATCTTAACAGGACAGCATGTGGCTTCTTCAGCTTGAGCTGCTACATTTTGAGGGAGCAGCAGTGATGTTCCAGATGACCCCATTATGTCTTGCTTTCTTTTAGCGTGTCTCTTGATGAACCATCAAGGAAAACATTTTCGAGCCTGAAGAACGCAAGAGTCTGGCAGTTGCGCTGCATGGAGGTTTCCTCTGGAAGACAGCTTGCTGAACAGTTACAGCAGGAAGGAGGAGTGCATCAGCGGTGTTTGCGTGTCATCCTCACCAGGGATTTATTGGGGCATAACCTGCATTACAACCAAAGACTGAACCAATCTCATTTTTGTCTGCAGAGGGTGCCGAGCACTCCACTGCAGCAACATATGTGAATGCTTTCAAACCAATTTATTTTGAATTGCACCAGACCTGCTTTTCCAGGACTCCTGTCATTACACTGCTGTGTATTTACCGGGTGATTGGTTTAGTTCCTCACTTCAGGAGAAGGCAGACAGGAAAGTAAGGCTGTATCCTAAAACGATCTGTAAGCCACAGGCAGCTTTTTTTTTTTTTTTTAAATCTTCCCTCCCTGCGAAAGACAGAGCTTGCTCCCCGACAGGCAGCCATCAGCATTCCAAAGGCGAGCACTGCCATTATCCTGCCTGGTGTGCTCCAGGCTGCTGCACTTCACCAGCAAGAGCCATGCCCTCCTGGGTACACCCCAGCAGCAGTCCTCCCCCGGTGCTCTACAGCACACGCTGTGCTGCCAGAAGCACAACTGCAGTCGCTCTCTCCCTTCTCCAGCAGCCCAGCCACCGTACAACACTGCAAGACACATTTTTCAACCTGCTCTGAGGAATTCCACCACACAAAGTGGAAACTCACTTTGGAAACAGCTGCAGTAAGAACTTCCTATTTCTCTGGTTTTTGACTTAAACATCCACATTCATTTTCTTTACTAATGCTTCGGTTTGACTAGTTACTGTGGCACTGCCGGCCACCATCCTGCACTCACTGCCAGCTGAAGTTGGTTGTATTGCTGGCTACTGAAGTTCAGGTCATATCTCAGAAAAAGCTCTTCTAAAAACACTTGTGGAGTACTGCCGTGGCTTTTCATGCCAAGACAAAAAGAAATCACCCATTTTTTGGCCTTTGGCTAGTGAGCCAGAGACTTGGCAGGTAAACCGACACCCTAGGCAACTTCAGCAAAAAAGTGCATATTAAAAAAGAAACCTGAGACGAAGGTAAAAGCACTTGCCAAATCAGTGGCTCCACGGACGCTGAGGTATGGAAGAGGCAGCTGCTGAGAAGCAGCTCAGCACGTGCTAGGACCCTGCGACAGCCCCTCATGGCTTTGGGTGAAACACCACACCCATCAGAATTGCCCATCTCATTCACAGGTTCCAAGACAGCATCACATCTAGATGAACACTGCTACCTCACTTCCGTTCCTGACAGCAAAGCCTTACCCCTTACATACTTCAGTGCCAACAGACTTCAAGTCTCCAGCAGACTCCTCAGAACAAAGGTTACAGCCTGTTTGAGTAGCCCTTTGCATGCAGACAGTGACACTTCCACAGGGACAGGGTAACTGCAGAAGAGGATGAGTTTTTTCTGGTATTGTATTTAACTGCATGACAAGCTGGGACTGCCCGTGTTTGTTTATAGTCCAATTCCTCACACCTCAGCTACTTAACATGCTGAAGATTTCTTTGTGCAGAAGATCTAAAAGGCTCATAGGTTTCCTGACAGCTTTTCCAGTGGTGTAGGCTTCTGCCATTAAAACTGTATTATTGTAAGGCAATGACAGCAAGAGTCAAACTATCACTGCTGTGATTACTGTGCAGCTAGAGCTGAGGAGAAAAATACAGAAGAGGACTCTGTATCCAGAGCAGAGGGCTATTCTCATGTTTTATCTGGAGAAAAAACAGTTCCAGGTGTTAAAGCAGGTAGACTAATTTCTGCTATTTCCATTATGCATAGAACTAACACCTGGGAAAGGAAGTGGCAAAGGGAATAAACAATGGTGCTCTTCAGACAGCAAGTCTGGGTACAGACGGCTCACTTAAGAGCTCCACAATGCCTGTTCATGACTGAAGAAGTGGTGCAAGGTTCCAAAGAAATCACCCTTCTAAACTTAAAGGAAAAAATAAAACCAACCTCATGGCTAACAGTCCTCTAATCAGTTGTGCTCCAGAGATGTAGTCCCTTCAGTCAAAAAAGCAATTCCTAAGCGAGTTTGTAAAAGATGCTGGCAGAGCCAAAGCTCTGTGATGATGCCTATCCCTGTCACTGGGACAGAAGCACTTCGCTTGACAGCACTGTCTGTCAATGCCTCTACAGGAATATTAAGGCTTCAGTGGGTCAGCAAATTATACTTGATTTATTTTTCTCAAATCTTACCCTCCTTACATCGGTGAGCCACTTCCATCCTCCCCCAAATTAACAATCATGTGCTGTGCCTTACTACTACAACTATGGGCACCAGCTTGCCTTACTAACACCACCAGAGTACTAGAGATCAAACACACGTGGCATTTGTAACATCTCTGAAGACTCCACTGCAAGTTTGCAGCTAACAGTCTCCCTACACTGAGATTCTGGTCATAAGCTTCTCCTTTTCCAATAAAAACCATTTAGGACTGGGTTGGGTAGCAATACCATTGTGACCAGTTCAGCTCAAACAGCAGTATTATTAATCCTACAAAGCCAGAGAGGTACAAGTAGCCACCCAGAGAGGCTAAGGAACTCAGGATAATGGTGAACCAGAGATCTACAGTGCAGTATTTACTAGACAGATTTCTACTGGAGATTCTGGCAGTGTTTATACTGTGCCAGAAAGGAGTGTCTTTTGAAATACCTTGAAAATATTTTCTAAAGCAGATCAAAGTATTCTGGGCCACAGCTTGAAATTAAATGTTTGAAATAGCATCCTTTAAAAGCAAGTATCAGTCTTAGACCTCTTGTGTTATCTCTTGTCAGGTGCGTGTGAATCAAGAGGAGCTCCACAAACAGCGGAGACTTGACATTACTGCTTTTTGCACTATGGGCTAGTGCTTTTAAATGAGAACAGTCACTTGCTTCCTGTATAGCAAAACACTGGAAAACATGACATGTTCAAGGGGATAACTGCATGGATAAGACAAGAAGATGCTTATCAACCTTCCCAATGATGTGAACAGTGGCAGAAGTCATCTGATCCAATTCCCCATTTAGTCTCTCAAAAAACTGCAGTTGTTTCTATTAATCTGTTTTGCAGTGTTTTGTCTAAACAAGAAAGTTTATAAAATGAAAAAAACCCCCTTACATCTCTTACCTTTTCCTACCTTCTGACACGCCTTGTATTTCCCAGCATAAGTGTTACATAGCAAGTGTGTGTATACATATATACGCGCATTATATAAAATATATACTTTACATACACACTAAAGGTCTCTCTTCACATTAGCATTACACATTCTGAAGAACGCAACTGCAAACAACTCAGAATGCCTAACCGATCCCGAAAGGGGGAGGGCAGAAAAAAAAAAAAAATAATGCTACCCAAAATCCCTAGGAAAGCTTCACGCTGCTTGCAGGTACCAAGAAATCCCGTTTTCTTATGATCCCAGGAATAGTTAATATTTCTCTGCTGCTTTGCTCCCCCTAGATACACCCCACTCTGCAGTTTCAGTGTTGGGAAGTGCTTGCTGCTCCCCTTCCACTGAGAGTAATATTAATAAATTAAAAAAAGTTTCTCTGAAAGTGCCGCTTCAGTCCAGCCTGTCACGCCGTGCTTTCCCCCTCGCCCTGGGGCTCTGCTGAACCATTCACTACTTTCTTGACCTTCTTCATGCCCTCCATTACTCCAGAAGTCGTCACCCTGGAAGACAACAGAAAAATATCAAAGAACAGAACTTGACCTGTAACATCCATGTGACCAACAGCCAGTGCTTGTCTTCCTGCACACACCAAACCACATCTCTTGACCAAGACCGAGCAGTCTTGACGTTCAGTCTCTCTTATCGCTACCATTCTGCGGGTCAGGTGTCATCTTGGACACCTCAAGAGCCTCGAGGACCTCTGCATCTAACATTAAAACAGCAAATAACATTTGCTCCTACTTGATAAGATAGCAGGGGTCATTAAACAGTTAAACCAGGTGTTTATTTGCTAAAGTTTGAGCAACTTGCTTAAAAAAGAAAAACCAACAAACCATTTTGCTATACAGCCAGACACCCTCAATTCTGTGCATTAAAGACTTTCTTCTGCATTTGCAATGCTTTTAACAGGTAAAATGTATTATAAAAACGCACACACAGCGGTCAGTGCCCCAAACGAACCTTATTGGCTAAATGCACACCAACTCCTGCTAACAGCAAAATTACTCAATGAGCAGCAACAAAACCAAGAGAGATGTCATCCTTTTAATACCATCCAAGTCTGCATTTGTCATGGCAATCTGAGCACTGAACTATAAAGTCTCATATCATCTGAATACCAGGCAGACCGAACTGTTTGTCCAGCCAAAACAGCATCACTCCTCTCAGCACTACCTTGGCAATCCAGGAGCTTCCTCTGTTGTTGTACAAAACAGGTTATTTGCATGCATGAGACATTTGCTTTATTCCTCTGTACAATGATTCTCATTCCACGCAGGTTTGTTGGTTGTTTGGGTTTTTTTTACCCCACAAATGTGCTACAAAGGTTATTTTGGATGCTGACAGTAAGAGTGCCAACACTTCGGTGCATTCACAAGGGATGCCTGGAAGCACACAAAACCGTCCTGTTCAAAGATGCCACTGTCAGTCTTTGTGTGCTTTTGCCTGCTGCTTACCTCATAAGAATACTTTATTTGATCAGACTAGCTAACAGCATTTTCACAGTGTCACCCAAGAGGAGAGGTAACCTGCAGATATACTCTTCTGATAATGCCCTTAGTTCCATGTTAGATACCAGCTTCTGTTCATGTACTGTGAAAATAATTTACTCCAACTGGTGTGTTCAGTGACTCTGTAGCTATGGCAGTACTGGGATTCTCAGTGGTTCAGACATTTCTGAGTGGGTCTAGATGAGCTTGTGTTTAAGGAACAGTCCAAGAGTTAGAAGAGTACAGAGCAAATAGCAGATGTATTTCCTATTGAAATTAATAAAAAACCCCAAAAACAAAAGAGGGAGAAAAGCAAGCAGATTGCCTAAAGGAGAAAGAATTAGTAAACAGTAAACATTGCTTGAAAGAGAAAGAAAAAATAAAATCAATGTTATCACCACAGAAAACAGATCTCGTAAGTTCTCCCTGTTGACAAAGGTTCTCCCACAGTCACACTGGAAAAAATCTAGGGAAACATGAGCTAGAAAGAACCAAAGTGGATGCATAACTAATTGGAAGAGCATGCTCTGAGATGTACTTAATGGTTTCCTGTCAAAAATGAAAGAACACTGAGGGTGATTCCAGAGAGTCTGTCCCAAGTTCACTTCTATTCAGTGTTTTCAGTAACTGCCCAAGTAACAAAATAGAGAAGTTGCTTATTAAATCTGCAGAAGGCACTAGGAGCTACATATCTGCAAACAGGTTTAGAATGCAGAAAGATCCTGGCAAATCTTAAAAATATGAGGAGTCAGCCAGAGAGCTACGAAGTTTACTTTGTAATTACAGAACAAAGGGCTAAGTAACAAGTTCTCAGAGCTGCTGAAAGTTACCATGGACTACAAACCCCAAACAAAAACTAATGCAGCAACACAGCAGCAGACTTACCGGGGTATATAAATAGGTGTTTTACACACACGTGACACCAAACACTTGACTCACAGTGAGCAAGATCCCACCTGGCACACAGCCTAGATTTTAGCACCGCACTCTTGTAACACAACGACAAACTCACTGCACACCAAGATGATGACAGGAGTGATGGGAGGTCACAGCTGAGGGGGAACGATCCACTTCCCACATTCACGGAGGGGCAGGACAAACAGCCACAAACTGCAGTTGCAGCCAGGCCCATTTGTTACCAGAGAGGCCGTTTGCTGTCATCCCCTGCCTGCAACGACAGTAAAGAACTAGGAGCGATTTTGGGGTGGATTCCTCAACAGGGAGAAGTCAAAGACCACCTGACACGCACTGCTCTTGTCTCAGGACGAGTGCACAGCGTAGCTCAAGTCCTCTCACTGTCTCAGATTGTTTTGTACCATGGGCAAGTCTGTTCCACCTAATAACGGTTCAGGCAATGTTTTAGTGCTGATACCCTTCTTTTACTGGGCCCTAACACCAAGCACGCTGCAATTCTCCTTCTAGTCCTCCAAGCTGTCTCAGGACTTCAGTTCTGACCTGCAATGCTGCAAGTAAATGGTCCTCACCTGCCATTTGCTGAACTGCATTTCTAGCCCACAAACTAGCAGTAGTTAAAAATGCAACAAATCCCTCTGGCTAAACCATCTCTCTCCAGAGAGAATTTTTTTTTGTGGCTGTCAGAGGGATATCTGTCACAGATGAGGCACAAAACCAGTTCCCTGAACACTCCGTTGCACAGTGGTACATGCTGTGCAAATTTCACAAGATTTTGGTGGTGTTTATTTTTTGGTTCTCTACCCCTGTGTACATTGCATCCAAGTTATCAAAGACTGGCTAAGTATCAGAGGACTCTTCAGCCCTCTAGGTGGTGTGTCTCAGCTGTCTCCTGTTTGTTGTTTTCAGTCCAACACAAAACACTGTGATACTGGCAGCAGCCAGCCTTTACCATCAGCTGCGAACTGGAGTGAAAACTCATCAGCCATTGAGTAAAAAAAAGCTGATGTCTGCAAAGGAAAGATGCATAAGGGGAAGAAAATCACATCTAATGGAGAGCGTCATGAATCAGTCTGCCAGGGAGCATAACCCAGAAGCTGGGAAAAAAAAAAGAAAAAAAACAACCAACCAGGACTTCAAGTCTCATCACAGAATAGGTTGCTTCATGATACAGTGAGAAACTCCAGATCCCAAGGCATAAGCAAAGGCAGTGAACTGTTGTGGTAACGCTGACCTATGCTGAGGTTGTTTTGGATGTTACGGAAAACCAGAGTTGGTCTCCACGCCCTCAGCAAGACAGATTTACTGAACTGAGAACAAAACCATTAATGGCTTTTCCCACAATTCCTCCTCCAGTGGAAATACCTCAACCCCCGCCACAGGTATGAACATCATTCTCACCCAAGACGTGTGAAAGAGCGCTTTGGTACCTAACATTTAAAGCAAGCTTTCTGAGCTAATGAAATCATTTACTCCAAGAGTAAAGAAAAAAACCAAGAAAACCAACCAACCCCGAACTGCTTCCTCTCCCCTTCCTCACCCCCACCTCACCTACCATACTGTTTGTATTTTTGTGTTCGTGCCCCAGAAATGGCATTAGGGCTGGAAGGTTGACAACTCTTTCTGCCAAGTGTGGCTGCACCTTTTCAACCCGGGTACTTTAATCTAACAAACTGTCAGCGACAAGCCCACATACTGACAGAACGGGCGCAAGAGGCTGCCTAGCCCAGCATACACAGAAAGCCACTTTGTTGATGATGAATGGCTATTGACCCTACTTGAAAAAGAACAGGCTGGTCCTTAGTTCAGGTTTAGTCACGCTCTCCCTCTCCACCAGGACAACTTCTGTTGAGCCTGGTACAACTGAAGAGAAAGTCCTACAACATCTGTGAACACTTTCTCCCCAGACAGAGGCATGTTAGTTAAAAAGACTCACTGAAAGTTACCTTTGCTGTTCTGGATTTATATTTTATTTTTGAGAGTTACAAGAACTTACAGAGGGAGGATTTGTGCCTTATGTTGGTTCTGCCACAGATACCTAGTCTTTGGATTTTTTTCTTGGAACTTTGCACATTTCCACACTCTCCTTCATATTTACATTTAACGCTAGACTGAGCTTCATATAGTTTGCATTGCATGAAATCAGACATCAGCTAGAGAGCTGCACTTAACATGCCCTATTTTTTGCTGAAGACAAGCAAGCCTGGAAAAAAGGCTTGATGACCTCACAGCTTTCCCCTCCCTTGGCTCATAGGAATGTTGAATCTAAAAAGAAACTGAATGCTTCTGCAGCAAATGTTTTCAAGAGCTTGATTTTAACAAAAACCCACTGGGAGAAGAAAGCAACCATAAAACCTGGCAATAACACGCGGCAGAACACCATTAAGTTTGAAGTTCACAGGCTTTTAACTTCTGCCACAGCCTCTGAAGACAAGTGGGTATTTATCACATGAAAGACAAAACACACTCATGCAATGGTTAGTCAGGATGCTGTCAGGCACTTAGTCACTTGCTCAAATAAGCCTTGATATTTTCTCCCCAAAGAAACAACAATTAATATTTATAAAAGCAAAAATAGGACCAAGAAAAGAAATTTAACACACTTTCATTGGAGTGTTTCACCTGTCACAGCATGTGTATACACCATGCTTTTCAAACACGTGTAAATTGAACCTCCCTGATGCAGCCGGGGAAGGGAGAACAAGACACAGATCACACCCTGCCAAGTGCCCAAATCGAGTAAAACTTACGGTGAATCAGATGAGAAAAATTCAAGCGAGGCTAAGGGGAAACAACCCACAAGGCACAACAATGGAAACTCCGAAGGCAAAGAGCAAAACGCCTTACTAGGAATTCTGATCCTCAAGTTTCTAGTAACACCTATTTCACTATAGCAACAGGTGAATCAGTTTTTCCAGCTTATTTATCAGTTTCTCCTAAATTTAGCAGCTTCTCCAATTTAATGAAGTCACTAAAACGTGAAAGGTGTCATATTAGTCCTAAAAAAAAAAGCACAAAGAACTAGAGTGTTGATTTGTTTTTAGCAGCTTCTCCAATTTAATGAAGTCACTAAAACGTGAAAGGTGTCATATTAGTCCTAAAAAAAAAAAGCACAAAGAACTAGACTGCTGATTTGTTTCACCCAAGACCAGGTAAAGGAGATTTGCCAAACTGGAAAAAATTCTTAGGAACACGCTTCTGAGCCTGAACATGCATTACATTTCCTGCATAATTGCAACTGCTACAGAGATTAGGTAGTTCTGCTCCTATCAAGGCAACAGTCTGTGGCAATCATAGCTGTATCCAACACTTCTAGCATGCTGAATTTCTTAGGGCAGCTTCTATTACAGATTCAGAAACATCACTCATTTTTGAAGCCAATGTAAAGAAAATGACAGGGACTAGCCTGAGCCCTACTTTATAATTTCTCCAGACTACCTTGGGTCCTGCTGCATCTGTGGTGCCTCATAGCTTAGCAGCAAGGAATAGAACAGGGAAGAGTATTGGTAAAAATCCATCTCCTCAGCTCAGTGGTACTAAAGATAAATTTCTGCAAAGTTACAAGCTGAACATCAAGGTAGACAGGACTTACACCATGCTTGTTTATATTCTGTAGATTTGTAGCTCTTTGTTGGTTTGGTTTTTGGTTGGTCATTTTTTCTTTCCCTCATATGAAGCATTAATGACAATCTATAATGCTCATTGGTGTTCAGCAACATAGATTAAACACAGAAGCTTTTTTACTTGGTATTTTTACAGACAACTCTTTGCCCCACAAAAAGCCTTACCAGCTTCTTCCACACGACTGCCATACCCAGCTCAGAGGCTCCTATGCATATCACTAACCTCTTTTGTTAGTTTAAAACACACCTAATAGATACCTCATCTTTAAACGTGCGGGCAGATCTTCATCTTTTTCAAAGAAGGATTTAGAGAGATTAAAGTAAACTGGTTTGAAACACTGCTTTTCTCAAATCAAGTGAAGAGATGAAAAAAAAAAAGGGGGGGGGAGGAGCTCTTACACAGCTTCCATCTCCAAGTCATCCTCATCCTCTTGAGAAAGCTGTAGATAAGGGTTGTCTGACGCTGGACGGAACTTGTACCCGGTGAGAACAAAGAATACAAGCGTGGCCATTTCATCCAGCAGCTGCAAGCAAAAACAAAAGATTGAAGTTCAGTCCTGTAATCCTTTATGGTCAAGAAACATTTCTCCTCGTTCATAAGGTTCAAGGTTTAACGGCCAAGAAAGCCTCTGCCATAGCAGAAATAACAAAGCAATTCCTGTCCTGTTATCATTAATCCCAGGCTAAAGGCTGTCAAGCCCTTTGTTCTTTCAGCTTTCCCTGTCACTTTAAATACAGCTACAGTTCTAGCCATCACTCCAGTGCTTTTAAATAACTATGGCAAGACTTGGCTTTCAAATGAGGGGGGAAATAATCATCCCTATGTTGTTTTGTATTTTCAACAGTTAATGTATTCCAAAGACTCCCTGCACAGTTACTTGAATTATATGTTAAGAAACCAAGCATTTAAAAGTCACTAGGCAAATAAAGCCTGTAGATGGAAAAGGAAAAGCCTATTTCACTGGCTCCCTGGGGCCTCAATTACACAGGGCAAACCTGACTAATTTTTTTCCTCCTTTGTATGTTCTTGATTAATTTCCTTCAGACATTTTTAAACTGAAAGACTAAAAATCAATAATGCAATTACTTTCAGGCATCTCATGTATAATCCAGCAGCCTTGCTGGACAAATATAAATCTGAAAATATATTCCTGCCACCTTAGGCACATCACTGATAATCAGGAGTAGACACGGTGTAACACTGTGCTGTGAGACGTTCTTTCTACTACAACATGAGGAACAATTTATGGATTTTTGTGTGTGTGTAGTTATAGTTAAAGAATAATAAGGAAAAAACCAAAAACATCATGGAATAGATGTATTTTCCTTTGCTGGCAAATACCTGGTACAGCCATTTCCACTGGAATGGAACAGCAATCTTTATGAGAATTGCAATGATCCGTGTGAAGTAAATGTAACACACAATCTAGGAAGTAAAAGGAGAAGGCATGATGAGAACAATAGCATCATCCTTACAGAATCTTTTTTTCCAGAAAAATAGCTCAAGCAATTCCCAGATAACTCATTATGTTAGACTACGCTTATTATGCTCCTTGATAAACTCGGAAGATAGAGGCTGACAGCTCTGCTGCTTGTTGAACATCCAAATGACTCAAGCTATTGCTAGGATATTTCAGTTACAGCAGGAAATGCTTTAAGTATTAGTATTTTGTATAGTTTGAAGAATCACGACTGTAATTTATTACTCTTACCACTCGGAGTCTGAAATGAGGCCGCTGGAAATCATTAAGAAGCCTGTGCTCTCTTGGGAGGTATGCTCATGGCTCCCACTGACTTAATCAGAAACTGCACACATGCATCTCAAGGCACCATTTGGTCCCAAGTTTAATTTTTAGCAAGTTTACAGTACGTTATTCAAGCCCATCAATTCAACTGGCAGCTCAAGCTGTCTCCAGAGGAAATCAGTAAGTGTTACAAAAAGCTGGAACCAATTTGAAGATAGACAGAAGGATGCAATCACCAGGAAAAGAAGGGAAGCTGCTTTGGAGACCATAACGCAGTTGACCAAGATGCCAAAGCACAGCCCTGCCACAGAACTAGGAACACCTCGACGACATCCACCAGTTATAGCAGCTTCCGACAAGTAACCATCAAAAGGCTCCAACAGCTTTTAAGTGCTCTGTAAGCATGTGCAGAGTGTGGTACTTACCATAACATAGTAATGTCGGAACAGCTTCAGCTTTGCTAGGTTAATGGCAGCTATCAAGAGAACACAAAAGTCCATCAGAAAGTTGTTAAAATGAGGCAGAGTTTCTTTTGATACTTGTCTGCAAGGTAGGCAGGCATTCAAGACTGGGACTGGGGTAATCCCAGACTGGAAGGGTTTGTCCCACAGCCCAGTGGGCACTCTGAGGAGTGCTGGTCTGGTTTGTAAGTGTACTGGGCAACAGCCAGACTCTCTTAAAAAGGTAACTCGGTGAGATCACTTCTACGCTACATTTCATATGCACACACCCTGCAACACAGAACCTTCCTCTATCTGTATGGAGGCACATCCCTCCTGCCAGAGGGGCTACACACCACTTGACATTGCCTCCTAGAAAATTTGTCTTTTTCCTAGAGCACTTCCTGACCTGCTCCATGTCTTCAGCTGACCCGAGCGGCTCCGAGGTACTTTAGGAAGCACTGCATCTTGTCAAACGGCAGCAGAAGTATTTTAACATCGAAGTATCCTCTACCATTTGTAGCTCAGTCACAACTTAAGAGTAAAATAAGAAGTTGTACTAAATAGCTCTCATAGCAGACACATGTGTTTCAGTCACAAACTGTGCGAGCGAAGGCCTCGCGCTAACCTGCGGTTACTGGACAGATTACATCAGCTCTCGAGAACGCGGCAGAAATTCATGAGAACGAGCAGAGGTCAACAACAGATGGAACAGCTGTCAACTCCCGTTTCAGAGTCAGGTTTTATAGGTGCAGCAGGATTACAAATACAGACTCCTGGTGCTTTTGTGGCAACAAGGTGTGTTGACAGTAAACCAAGGTGCAATTTAGAGCCAACGAACACAAGTTGCCAGTTAGAAAAATACTGCTACATATATTTATTAGCATTCTCTCCAAACTCTTTTTTAAAAATATTTTAGTCAGATGTGGAAGTGCATCACATGGCGCTTAAGCCCTCCTGCGCTCCCTCACAGAAATCACCTGCTGCAAAAAGCGGATTTATAAGAGGCTGCGTGCATTTTCACATAAGGTCTTCCAGCTTCACAACACTACAAAATCTAGTACTACCCCTGAGGAAGAGGAGGGCTAACGGCTACCAAAGAAACACTTCACTTCCTGCAACAAAAGCAGTGAAGCTTTTCTTATGGAAAGGTAGTGACAAATGCACTACTCCAACTCGTACAGGTTCCCACTACAGTGAACGCAGACGACATTCTATTATAAATCTGCTTCGTATAGAGATTAAGAGTAAATTTCCAATTTCCCCTTAGTGATCCAGAAGCACTGAAAGCTATGGACCCCTCAAGACAGCTACAAACCCTCCTCCAGCAAACATACCATAACAACAGCACCTGACTAACTCCAGGTATAAACTGACTGGCACATAGATAAAACTAAGCTAAGAGTAGTTTTGATTTAGTGCTCGTGGGGCAATCTTACAGCACGGTATGTTACAGGAATGGCACCTCCCGGTTTTGGGAGGATGGTCCCTTCTGGACTGCAGTATGAAACACTGAACACAGAATAGCATCTACTTCACAACAGACAGTTCTGGACTGCACAAAGCGTTGTCCAAGCACTAGATGTGCACTGGCAGAGCACCGTCAGTGAAGCACAGAGCACTTCACTGGGCAACAGACAGCAAGACCTGGAACTGCTAGAGCAAGTATCTAACTAAATCCTTAGTAGCTGAATCACAGACACTGGTTTAGCTACTTCTCTGTCATTTTTGTCCCTTGCAAAAGCTACTTTCCCATACTTAACCAGTAAAAATTTAAGAGATTGTCATGGGTCTAGTGCTCTACCAGATCACCTAACACTAAAAGCTTTCCATAATACAGTTGTAGAAAGATTAAAGCATGTAAAGATGCAGGAGAAGCTCATTAAATCATGAAGCAATATCATGCTATTTAAAGGAGAGCTACATTAAGTGTGACCATGACAATCTTGTGATTTACCACATACTGGTTTGTACACAGAAGGATCTATTTTGAACTCAATGCACTCATCTTCAAGAACTGGCACCAACTGGTGCAATGACAGGCCATGAGAATTACCAGGCTTTCTAGTTAAAGGAACACCAACTCAACAGCTGTGATTCAAACTGCCGGCCCATCAGCGCTTTACAGTCAACAGCTCGGTGAGCTGGAGAGTCATTTCTGTTGGACTCACACGGTGCACAGGAGGAAAGCGTAGGGAAGCCAAAGATCTGGCTGCCAACTCAAGTGTCACAACTGCACCTCTCCCAGCTGACAGAGCACAGACTTCACTCATCATGATAATCAATACCAAGGAGTCATAGGTTGGTACATCAATATCTAGAACGGCTGAGTGTGGGAAAGAAGCATGAGGGGAAGAAAAAAAAAAAAATCAACCTCCACCAGGTAAAAAGACTGAGGAGTCACCACTGGAAGCTGGTTTGCTTATTTATCACAAGTAGGTGCTCTCTTCTAGCTGCCTCAACTTCAGGAATACTTCTCTCCACTATCAGATTCTAAAGTCAGTACTAATGCATGTCTACAGAATTCTGGCAGTTTATTTTAAACAGCTTAAAAGCTACAGCACACGCTGTTCTGGAGAAAGTCTAAAATCATCATTGCTTGGCATCAGCAACCTGGGAATTGCTTTTTCACAGGCTGAACATGCTCCGAGCACTAACACTTGAGTCTCATCATGCTGGACGTTTTAAGGTTTTTGATTCACCTCAGCCTGGCAGTCCAGACACCGACAGCAGCACTCGCAAGCAGGGAGGCCAGGCCAGCAGCTGTCACTTACAACTTGAATCACTTGCAGCCCTAACCTGTAAAGCTGTGATAACACAGCAGAAATTACAGCATGCAGTAAAGGTTGGGTAAAATTATGTTTGGAGTATGATAACCATTCTTCAAGGAACAGCACTTAACCGCAGAGAAGTGAAAAAAATCTCCAAAACTAAAACCCACAATACAGACTTTCTACCAAAGGTTTTACAAATTAATTCATACCTTTGTTCCATCTACTTCATAAAGTAATTAAAAAAAGATAAAAGTCATCCTTCAAGAAAGGTTTATAACATCTGTACCTTGCTTCCCTCAGTTCCCCCTCTCTATCACCATTTACTTTAACAGCCAGTGCCTGCGACAGCCTGATCCGCGCCACTCAAAACACAGCATCCCACAGGACTTTGATAATCACTCTTTTTGAGACTGTGCCCTGCGCTCACTTCAAATGCTGAGACAGCCTATAAGATGGGGAAAAGAAAGTCAGACCATCCACTACAGCCTTGCACACCAGACAATAGCTTTTTGATTAACTAATCTGACCTTTTTAGCATATGTATATAATAATAAGAGGACTGCAGCTGAGGGCATAGGGAGCTCAAGTCCAGACGATAAAGTACGCAAGGGCAAACCATAATGTGTCTTGAATGAACATGCTGAAGTACAGCTCAGAATATTATTCCAGAGCCTTGTGTGCTATGCTAACTCTGGTGCATTTGAGATGCAATCTATGCCATTATCAAACAGTAAATGGGATTTATTTTTTTTCTCCCCAAGAATAAAGGCCCTCATGTAGATCTAGGCCTCAAAAAGCAACTCCAGGAGTAACTCAGAGAAGTGCGGCTCTATAATCTCTATAGCACTCTGCTTAAAAGCACTCCCATACTAGAAAGAAGGGGTCAAGCAAACAGATATAGTAACTTTTCAAGTCATGCATGAGAAGGTGGCACAGACCAGTTAATCTTGGATATTGTCAAACATATTAGCCACGTGGCACAGAAGCTCCCCACCAGGATCAGTACAGGACAAGGAATGCATCTCTAACACATAATTGCTCTATCAACCCTGGATAGCTATCTAGGGCGCCTGGAAGTGGTACACGGGAACACAAACAAGCCTATTGAATTTCGCAGCTTGCATTTCTCAACATTTCCCAGCACTCCAGTGCTACCTCTTGAGGTCTCGACACTTAAATCACTAAGCTTTATCTCAAGGTTTGAGATGCCCGTGTACTGCCTCGGGCATGTTCACCCTCCTCCTCACTGGAGAGCCGCAGAGGTGTTTTAGCTCAGGTCTCCACGGAGGCATCGCCTTCAGCATCTGCCGAGCTCCACTAAGCACAGGGTGTTCTGCACCACGGGGGACCCGACTCTCTGTTCACAGCATTTTCATGGTACAGAAGCAGGAAGACACTGAATATGGCAAATGGTTTTTCCTGACACGGGGGGCAAGCATGAAAGCATTAATCATCCTTTGCCCACCGCACAGGGAATGTTGCCGGGAGCTACACACTGCAATGTACTTCCCCGATTGTGCTGCCAATTCTGACAAGCTGCAGTGCTTCAGGAACAGAGCCAACCGTTCGTGATCAGACTGCACCGAGTTTCACAGCCCTCATCACACACACACAGAGAAGTACAAGGAGAAGAAAAACTGCAGTGGTGTTTCCAGCCCTCCACCTCCCCCTCAAACAACACATGACATGATACACAAGAGTGGGTTATAAGACTCAAGAGGTCCAGTGACCAAGAACTTTTGAGTTTCAAATAAAAATAAACAAGTTTACTACAACATATTCCCTCCTCTTCCTTTTCTCACGATGCCTGGCAACAAGGTAGTGGTAGCTGAGCAGCTTTCCAGCCCCAAAAACTGTAGCTCAGTTTGCAAGGTGATTTCCTTAATTCTGCAAGACATTTGCAGCGCAGCTCTAGAAATGGACAGAGGGCACAGGCTCCCGTCCGAGAGAAGGTACACGGACAGACCAAAGGGTGCAGCTACGCACTTGCTTAAGTCTGAAGCCGGCGATTTTGGAATGGGAAGAAAAAAAAGCCTGCTGTGCAAGATAAGAAGCCTGTGTAGGTCAGGTATTTTGCTTTAGAGTTAAAGATCACCTTCATGAGGAAAAAAAGCCAACAACCAGACAGCTCAAGCCCAGGTGTGTCACTGTGCCATGCCTACTCTTCACCAGCAATCCTCAGCATCTGTGCATGTAAGGTCTCACTGGAAAATTACGGCTTTAGACTCATTCCTCTAGCTTTCCCACTTTAGAATAATTAAAAAAAAAAATTTAAAATACTAGTTTAAATGACCATTAGCTAGTGAGTCCAAATCACTGCTACTTACAACAAGCCTTTTTAATAATCATACATTACTAAGACAAAGGCCTATGGGAGACACAGAGGCACAGTTGTAACACTAAAAGTCTGGCCAGCCTGCTTCATTTCTAGTCCAGTCACACGGCAGTCATGGCTGCACTTGGCCCAAGGGAGCGCTGTCTAACAAACAGCTTGTGAAATAGCTGGGAGAGGACAAGTCAGTCAGGAAACACCAGCAGGATACTAAGTCATGAAGTCCTGGAGTTGTTAGTTCTAATAGACACGAGAAAGCAAACATAGTTTTCCTTAGGTCTTTTTCACCAGTATGAAGGTCATTAGAAGGCTCAATATTGAGGAAAAACAGCTGCTGAATTTAAGTACATAATTCCCCAAGACACTCTACAAGTTAATCAAGTCTGTGTGAGAGAAGAGGAAAGCCGCCTGCGAGGTAATACTAGACACTAAATCCTAGTGAGCAATAAGCAATCCAACCAGAACTGCCTGCACAAGATTCTGTCGGCTTGAACCGCAGGACAGGCAGAGCAGTAGCTAAGCTGCGTATGAGAGGATCCAGTAGTTATTACAGCTTCAGGAGAAAACTGTCTTTGTCTGGGAGAAAAAAAACACGCTGGTGATTTGAGAGGTAGTGCTGGTCCCATTTTTCTCACGAGAAGCTAATGCACTGAGCAGCACCCCTGCAGAACAGGGCCTCTGGGGGAAGCCTACAGAGTTAAGAGCACGTGTTCTAGCCAAGACTATTCAACAAGCCTAACAAATGATTTTACCTCACTACAGTGCAACCAAGTAATTTTTGGTTTTCTCAAGCAGGCATACCAGCAGCATGACATCACTGAGTAACGTTCTGCTTCTGGCATCACGTTGCCATTCACTTGCTCCCCGTGGGCTCCTACCAACCGTCTCCAAACACTCCAACCACACCGCACTTCACACGGGAGTCCCAGCACCACGGCTGTCCCAGCCACAGTGTGGTACCACTGTTTTCCATGATTCTTTTCCCCCATAGCTTCTTTAATTGTTAGTGTAGCATAACACAGCTGCTAAGTCCCTCTCAACACACAATTCTTTAACAGGATCTGCACAACCAGATGGTAACATCAGTAGGTAAAGCATGGTAACAGCAGGAGGTGATCCACAGCAACATTAACGTTAAAGACCACCATTATCTGTGGAGAACAACACAAAACAGTCCTTCAGGGCTATTGGGCACAGCACTGACTACCTATAAAGACACAACGAGTTCTTCTTGATCATCATTTTCTTTTACCTCCATTATACGCTGCAATGCACCCTTCAGAACCTCTTGGTTTTACTCAGATCTGGATTCCACCCATTACAATGAAGAGCAGACAGGTCCAGCCTTCACGCTGAACATCCTTGACATCAGCCACCTTTTCCTCCTTCACTCACCACGTTTTAAAGTTCAGCAAACTCCATAGCACCATCTTGTGCTAAGAACCATCAAGCGCAATGCAGCCGCAGGGTCACCCCCTGAGGCCACACCGATCCCCAGGTTTTTGTGTCTCCATCCCCTGCACTGGCTGCCGAGTGCTCGGCCTCGGAACGGTCCCATCGCCACCCGGCAGTTCTGCCTTCGCTACAGGAAAGCTGACCTCTATTTGCAGTCACACACCGTGGCTTCAGCTGAGAACCAGGTCCCTTACATACGGCAAGTCCTCTGTTCAGAAGGAAGAGATTAAGTAGTGTCTAAAGTGGACTTCCTGACGGGAAGAACATAAATACTCCAGAACATATGCTCAGTGGACAAGGCAAGACACACTCATTCTGTGAACGCCACCAAACCCACATGAACACACTGGTGAGAAAGCCACCAATAACCTTCCTGTTCCATTACCAACACTAACCTCTTCTACATTGGTTTCTATTAGAAATCAACATTTTTCCCTCTAGGTTTGAAGGGGGGTTTGTTGTGTGTACGGCTGTTGTTTGGTGTGCTGTTTTGTGAGGTTTTTTTACAGCTTGGAATCTCAGAATAATGCTGGGCTCATATTAAGTATCATTCCAATTTAACAGATGGCAAGAAAAGACCTCATCTGTGCTGCACACAGAGCTGAGTTCGGTACCCAGCCTTACTCTTCACCTACTAAACTAGAGGCAATCTGTGCTGAAATGCAACTGTCTCAGAAGCCAAGGAAAGGGCCGGAGGAAGTATCCAGACCTAGGGAACCATCTCCAGAAAGGAGAGACTTAAGGGATAAGACTGGATTGGAAGGATGTTGCCAGAAGGACCTTCAACAAATAACGCTTTCAAGAAGAGTAAGCAACTGATAGAACATTGAGACAGCCGCCTCCTTGCAAGGGAGCCAGCGCTGTGCTGTCACGTGCATCTGCAGCCAACTGACAAACTGAAGCCGAAGTGAGCAGATAAGGCAGGAAAAGCACACACACTGCAGTGGCCATATTTGGGTTCGCTTTCCATCCACCATCTCATTTCCACTGCTACAATAAACGTAACTCAACTTTCCACAAGCAGTTCTCTAAGCTGCTGTACAAACATGGACAAGAACTTTGTTACGGTGAATGCAATTCACGTTTTGTTTCATAATGAGGTTTGTTTCCCTATTCTGGCAGGGAGAGATTTCTGCAGAAATTGAAATAAGGGAGTCTATTTTGACTAATAGTCCGCAATTCTGGAATTCATTTCTAGTTCTGAACAGTAAACTCAGAGAAAAGAAGGCAAATCTGTCAAGATGATTTGCTCTACACATCACGTCTAGCTTGAGCACCGAGAGTTGTGCAAGTACCAGAGAATGAGTTCCACGTATGAGTTCTGATAGTCAAAGCAATACATGAAAAAGGCCATTTCCCAAAAGTTATTACCATGAGCTCACTAAGGAAAAGCAGCAGTATGACACTAACATAGGGTAGATTTGAAATACGTAAGCTAAAACTATAAATCAGCATAATGTGTTTGAAATTCTGGCATTATCTTATGGCATGTAGCATAAAACAGAAAAAAAAAAAATCTACAGATTACTTGCCTTTCCCATCTGTTGCTGAAGCCTCCTGTAAATGTCTTATTGACCTGGATAATAATACAGAAAAATTTTTAAAAAAGAGGAATAGATTAGCTGTAACTGTTACACTCCCTTTTCACTGCAGCCTGGTAGAACACTGACAAGCTTTGCCAGCTCTTTATGGCAGTGGTACGCTTGTTATTAACTGTGCTCAGCATACATTTCACACTGATCTACCCAGTTCAAGCATCTGTATCTCCTTGTGATTAAGAAAGCCGATTGCTAAAACCTACCTCAGCCTACAGAAAGCTTTGTGGGAGGGAGGGAGCAGAGTGAGAAACTGGGGCATTTTCCAGCATAATGCTTTCCACTTGTACAATTAAGCTGAGCTACTATGCAGAGCGCTGCCAAGAATTTGGCATCTTATTGCTCTTTTAAGCACTTTTCATTTAAATAGTTGATTACAGCTTACATGTCTACATAGGCAACTTATGTAACAGAAGCTACCCTGCAGGAATGGAAATTCAAGGGCCAAGTCTTAGTCACCTTGCTCACATGAGTCATCCCACCAGCTGCAGTGACACTATCCAGATGAAAAGGGGGCAGGATTTTGTGTTTCTGTTGGTACCATGACAACGGGGGAACACGGGTCACACACTATAAACAGTTACAGGGCAGTTACCCAAATGCATTTGTCCTTCAGATACAGTTCCTTTATGGAAAGAAAGTTTCAGACCAGCATACCACTAGGCAGGACATGTAGATTCTGGCATTAGGTAACAAGAGCTGCAACTGTAAGAGGCACCTTTATGAGAGGAAATCAGAATTTATCTACAAGTAAGGTCAATATTCCTGCAGTTTGATTTGCTGTACCCAAACACTCAGCCTCAGAAGAGCTGCAGCGTTTTGACGGGAGTAAGGGAAGGGATAAGTGGGTGGTGCAAGTTTCTTTGAAGGCATTTCCCAGCCTTGGCAGAAGGCCACAAAGACTGCGCAGGGCTTTGCCCAGACGCAGAGGACAACTGGGAAGGCAAGGACAGCTGAAACCCACCCTCACGAGCTCCCATCTGCAGAACAATACACGTGTGTCACACACATGCATTATGAAACAGCTCTCGAACTCAAGGGTTACACACGTTCTACAGTGATGACATGTTTACTAGACAGACACTAATATTCACTCTGCATTCCTGAAAAAAAAATAAAATCCTGGAGGAAAAGACAAGCATTCTGTGTTTACTAACCAAGGAGCTAGAAGCTCCTTCAAATCCTCCTTTAAACCCAGCTGTTTATCCAATTAAGACTAAAATGAATTTAGAAAATAAATGTTCTGACTAACTGGCAAGGTGCAACAATATCATTTATCTGAATTATCTGTGTTTTGGTGGAGTTTTATATAACCAACATCATTCCTGGCCCGGTAGAGTGGCAGGAAGGGCAGGGAAATGCTCCCTGTGGGATTATTTCTTCTAAACGGTCAAGTAAAAAAATGCAGCTACTCTTCTCAAAGGCAGCACTGAACTTCAACAGCACTATTGTTTTACAATTTAGCAGCCTACTTTCCAATCTAAGTCAGTAAGGCAAAATCCCATTTCTCAACAGAAGAGGGTCAGGACTTGTGCAAAGCACCTGTAGTCAGCATTGTGCTGGCCACATTTAAAACACCATCCACCTTACCTTATCCTCACTTTAGTATCCCAAAAAAAAAAAGGTATCTTCCACAACACAAGACTGAAGAGTTATGACACAATACAGTTTTTAGAAAGTTAACAGAACACTTGACTCCAAAGGACAGACTTTTCCTTGCTCTGGCAGTATTTTCAGCTCTAACTAGCAGTTAATACCCATTAGTTCAGGAACAGCTCAAGCCACCAGGGCTCAGAGTGACTCACCATACCACTGGAAATAGGATGGCTCCACAACACAGCAAGTCTACCAGGAAAAGGATTTCTTTCCACAGCCCGTATTCAGTTGTCCCCTCTTCTGTTGACTCTATGATAATGTACGCAACATTTGCCAGTACCTACAGGACAAAACACACTCAATGGCTTCAGCAGCTTTCCAAGGAGATACTAGATGTGGGCTGCCAAGTCAGTAAAAGCTGTCCCACAACTGCAGAAAGAGCCCATTCAGTAACACTGATAATACTTCTGCAGCTCTATAGCAAGAGAGTCACATGTTCAGCAGCATCTACACAGGATTTACAGAAATAAAACCAATGGGAACTTATTTCTGCTGACTGTCAGAAAGTAGTCCCTTTTCTTATACACTATGCTGAATCTACTGTATCAGTAAAGATAAAAAGAACAAAATCTACTTATTAAAATACAGAAACAAGACTGATACGCACATAAAAAACCGTTAAAACACATTATTCTAAATTAAGACAGTAAATCAAACAGGTCATTGACCACATTTGGTATCCCATAGCTGAGCTCTGTAAGAGCCTCAAACATTAGTTACATACTTCTGGTTTTTGGGTAAGGGATTCCATCTGGAAAGGCAGAAGAACTGCTCTGCCTGCAACAACACACAGAAGTGCTGCCCTCCTATGTACTTCAGTTTTTGGAGTAAGAGGCAAACACTGATCCCTTCAAACATGCTGGGAAAGTTCCCTTCAGACGCAACAGGCCTACAAGTCTCAGTTTTCCCTTTTTTCTTCTTAAACCCATTCAGCAAGTACTTCAGAAGTAACAACTTACATTTAGTTTCTCTGTTTAATAGTTTAGTACAGTTTTGCAGCCCAAGTTTCTTTCCAGCATTAATATACTTACCTTAATTGTTCATTTGCTGACATTTTATTTATACCCAATAGAGGGAGAAAAGTGGGGAAAATTACAAAATAATTTCTGGGCCACAGGATTCCAGCTCAATTCACATTGTAAGCAACAAGCTTATAGAAGCAGTAGCTACGTAGTATTTTGTGAAAGGATTCACAGCCTTTTAGAGTTTGCACAAGCAGCTCTCCCAAAAGGTAGTAAGCATTGACCCTGCTCAGTCCTCACCTGAAGCGGGATGACAATCATGAAAATTTTTTTGTCTTTGTCTGACAGGATGTGTTTAATGAAAGCCCAGCCTGTGCCAATAAGAGCAATAGTGATGAACAGGAGAGCACCCTTCAGTCTGAAAGAAAAACAGACGCTGCAGTGAGAGACTTTATCAAACTTCCTCTTCTGCCCAGGTTCTCTCCTACACCCAGTAAAGCCACAAACCCAAACAAATGCCTTCCTATTTGTAATTTTGGCAAGTGCTTATCCTACAACAGCAAAGCAGATGCACTTGCTTACAACTATGTATCGCACAGCAGTACTACACTTCATTCACAATTGTCAGTATATGCAATCTTTTCCCGGGGGAGTCAACCATTTAGCACCATGAACAGGACAAAACACTGGCAGCTGTACCCTCTCACCATTCACACCATGAGCAAATTAGATACTTGAATATTAGTATGAACAAAGAAAAACAAAGCATTTCTGATCCTTTTACTCCTCCACCCACATAAATGCCAATTCTCTGCAGCTGCCCTCAATAAACAGAGACTTCCACTTCACACAGGACTGATTGTTGTCTTGTCATTCACACCACAGTACCAAAGAATCAGCAATTTTCTAGTTTGCTTAGGAGGGGCACAGCCCCACGGGGAATTCAGATCCATTGTTTGAATCTCTCACATCAATCTTCTGACATACTTACAGGTGAGTGATGTAATAAACAACAGCCCAGCCTTCGATAGGAAATCCCTGAGAAGAAATGTAGTGATAGTCGATCTGGAAGCAGAAAAGAGAGGACATTCCTTTACAAGCTGCTCCTCAGCACACCACCCATGTCTGTAAAACAGGTCTGCTTGACAGCCACTTCAAGTTTCATTCTTCAATCAGCGTGTAGACACTCCCCTCTTTTACATCTTAGACAATACTTCCTTCAAACATATTCTAGTTTTGTTTAGCAAAGTCATTTCCATTGGCTGTATTTCCTAAGTGTTAGTGGATATCTCTCATACAACCTACATCCTTCCCACACAGCTCCCACACTTAACTACAGACAGCTGTGTTTGTAACCCATTTATTAATTTGTTGTTTAAGTTCAGTTGCCTTAGGTGTCTAGAGCCTTCCTAGCTTCACTTGAAAACCAATTCAATTCATTAGAATCCAAAAACATTTGTAGCAGCTATCGTATCATGAACATGAAAGTGAAGATCACAGCTGGCACAAACACCAAAGGATTAAATGCTCCCCATGACCTTTGTTAAAGAGCTCTCTCCAAAAGAAAGGCAAGGTCAACACATTTCTGAGACTACTTATTTAAAGTGTTAAAGCTTCTACCATGAGGTCTGTTACAGTACACCAGAATACATCACCAGAAATAGCATCCTCGAATTTTACAAACATTCAGCAAGGGTTCCATGTATGAACACTTACTGTGAGCCATGTAGCTGCAACAGGACCACAGTTCAAGCTTTCAGGCCAGCCCCACTCAGTCAAAACAGCAGAATTCACGGAACTCATTTGGGCCTCATCTGCGCTCGTTGCTTCACCACTTCAGGCCATGATCTCAATTGTATTTGAAGTGAGAATTTGCTAATGAAAAACTGAATCACTTCCAAACACCTGCAGTTCAGTTCCAATGCTTCATATATGACATTTCTCTCTCCCCTCTCAAGCAGATTTCTCTACCAGCATGCCCTGGATTCCAGGTTTCTACATCCTAGCTGAACAACTTAAGGCAGAAACGTTACACATACCGCATGGAAGACTAAGGACAGAGATTTTGTGAAAGGGAGGGCTGCCATTAGCCAGTGAATCTTGAAGACATCATTTCTAGGGGAAGAAAAAAAGGATAAAAGGAGCACCAGTTGAAAGTCAGCAGTAAAAAATTCAGTTCTCAAGGGTATTTCTTTAAAACCTGTAAATGTCAAACAGTAACTCTCAGGGTGAGCTAACCAGTAGCGTAAAAGGACTCCCTTTAACACTGCAATCCAAGTTTTTGCAACATCCTGAATGACAATTCAACTACACCTTCTACAATTCTGATTTTTAATATTTGGACTAATCAAACTTTAGAACAATAGTCAGAAACAGCAATACTGACTGGAGTAGCTTTTTCTCAACTATAAATTGTACATATTAGGCATACAATATTGAGCCAGATTTGGAATTTTAACTGATTTAAGTCAGGCTGTGAACTGGATATTGTAAAAGCAGAAGATAAAAATCAACCAAGGTAGGCCGATATTTGTCACTGACAAACTACACCGCTCACCTGCGTTTGCGAAGTATGTGGATCCATACAGTCCCCGATAGGAAGAAGAAGAGAGCCATGGAAATGTAAAGTTTTGGCAGTGGGATCTCACCCGCTGAGAGGTAGCTTTCAGGATTCTTTTCCGTAATTTCTATCTGAATATTAAAGGTATGTTATGTGTACCGTTGGAAAAAACCATCTTGTTAGAGCATTGAGTTAACAATTAGAGTTGACAATCAAATTTGTTCATTTAAAAGTAGCTTTTCTAAAGCTGTGAACATTATGAGACTCCTAAAGAAAAAGAGCAGCTCTTCATCCTCAGGAGTCTCAAAGCGTGTTGGAATGTTACACCCACAACAATTATTTCCTTGAAAAGCAGAAAAGGACAGAGGTTTCTCCCAGTGTTTCAGTTATGCAAGTTATGCAACATAATTCAGAAAGGCAAAGTAATTTTCTCAAAGAAGAGTTATCTATACCAAACCTCACAGAGTTTGTGCACCTCTGATTCCAAACCAGTACTACAACCTGGCATAAAAAAGCAGGTTTTCTAGCACAATCCGATTAAGTGTGGAAAGAGCCATACATAACTGAAAAACTCACTCTTAGTATTACTACAGTGGACTTCTTCACCTGTCAAGAGAAAGGAAGCACTCTGCTGCAAGCCTACGGCCCTGTGACTGAGAAAACAGAAGCTTTATTTAACATTCTATTTACGTCCCTAGATGACTTAGTTATACGTGCTAGGATTTATTAAATGAATGCATCAAGACTAGCTTGCAGTACTGAAACTGGGCTGCATCTCTAAATAACAACCGAGTAGGTTATCCAGGTTCTCCTCCTTCAACTTCTTCCATGGATAAAAGCAATAACCAGCAATTTAAAAATTTGGGTCTTCTAAACATACAACTTCAGAAACAGATGTAAAGTGGTCTGGTCTGAACTAAGTTAGGGCTGGTAAGTTTTATCACCTATATGTTCCCTTGCTTTTCCTTTGCAGCAGCATAGCATATCCATGTAAAAAGCAGGTCAGGGGTCTGATTTGGCCAAGAGTTACCTCAGTCAATGAGAGGACTCGTTAGAGAATAGCTCACTATTCACCAGCACGGACATCAGCATGAGCACAGGCCGACATGAGATGTGCTTATGCACTGGCTCAAGAGCATAGGACCAAACCCTTGGATGTTAAGAGACATCTGCTGTAACATATTGCCTTTACGATGTGCATCGAACACTGTAAGAACATATCACTCATTCAGCCAAAAACTGCAAAACCGTTCACAAATACCAACAATTTAGATTGCAGCAACATCCTTAATACCTGCAAAGGCGTAAAGGAAAAGTGATTTTTGAGCACAGCAAAGCACAAAGAGCTGGTTTAGCCTCCAAGAGCATCTAGTCACAACTGTGACCCAGCCTACAAGCAGTCTTCAGATTTCCAGACATTTCTCTAAAACTGGTGTTTTAATTCTTCTTACTGCAGTTACTTGCTTCAGAAACACCACTACAGAGATTAAACGTGAAACTCTGAATCACTTTCCAACCCATACACACACTCATGTAAAGTGTGTGCTTGGTATACAAGCTAGAATTGAAAGCTGGGTATTTCAGTCTAAGTGAACAAGTTAATTATACTCTAGAAGCTATAAAGCTGTACTTACATCGAGACTAAAGAGCCGCTGTTCTTTAGTTTGCCCTTTACCGCCAACACATTTGTGGAAATACAGGCTGTAGAGACCTTCTTGGTTATCAGAGCTGATGTTAAAAAAAAACTGAAAACAAGAAATAAGAAAGTCGGCCTTCCTCTCATTCACAGCAGGGCTGCCCTGGTAAGAAGCCATCTCTAGTGAAGCACGGAAGTCACTTAGGGTCAGCTGGTTCCTTTCCACAAGCACTGCTCCAAGAATACCAGCATATCTACAAGCTTCTAACAGAACTCAGGTGCAAAAATCACTGCACCTATCTATGCATTTCAGTAATTCAAAATCTTTACTGAAGACCTTACAGTATCATTGTTTAACTTCATGACAGAAAAGACAACAAGAAGTCTCCTATTCTGATCATACTAGACCTAAAGCATAAGCAGCTATTCTGTTCCTCCCTCAACTATACAAATTGGCACAGCGGTGGAATTGGGATTCACATCATGAAACAGAATCTAAAATGTGTTTTATAGTAACCAACAATCACAAGTGAACCAGGGTGTTGAAATAGTGTTAATCTGGATTCATACAAAATCTTTTCCTCTTAAGTGATTCGTCAGGTCACAGTCTGTCAGAAACCTGTAGTTTCTGTAGTGTACTAGCTGCACCACAGTAAACTTTAACAGGCTAAGGCTCACTAAGATATTTAGAACTGCATCATACCAAAGACCATGTAAAAGAGCTCCTACACCTTATGAAGAACAAAGTTTCCAGCACTTATTCTTAACAAGAGTCCACTCAAAAACTTTCTGAGCTATCAGAGTGGCACCTATACATGACTTCTACTTTTCACACAGTAGTACAGTGAAGGAACTGTCCACATGCATTAAGATCAGACACTGACAGACACCCTACCTGAAATGAAAAAGTTCCTCTGTCACTGTGAACAGGATGTTCTTGTTCTACTATGTTCTGAGAAAAGGAAGAGAGACTTTTAGATACTGGGTTTTTTATGCAGATAACCACCATATTTGGCTACATCATCCAGACAATCAAAACTGCATTCTGTATATTTATGGTGGAGTCAGAGCAATAGAAAATACTACTCTCCATCTTCTGGCTATGTTTATACTGGAATATTCCCCCAGCTTCCTTCAGAAAGAGAACAGCAGATGGTTTCTTACCTGGGAGGGCGTTGTACTGTGTTCAGACTTCTTATCTAGAGACAGAAGTATTAATGGTACATTTAGAGTGTTTACATTTAGACATCCTCAAAATAATCTTTCACACATCGCCAATACCTTACTCAAATCTTCCTATACTCATCTGCATGGCAATCATTAAACAGAGATCCTTTCCCAGTCTCTCTTTACTCTCCCAGGACTCTTCCCACAACTAGCATCATTCTCAATGCATCCTCAAAATCTGGGAGAGGCTTCTTTACTACTACACCTTCTAAAAAAGCCCACCCAAGAAATCTTTCCAACCTCTCCAATTAGAGGGATGCCGAAGGCAGATGACCTATACCAGACGCAGGCCACAGCCTTGTTTCACACAGTCTACAGCTATGACTTAAAGTTATGACTGAGTACTGTTAATCTCACCAACTAACCTTAATCTGGGCATTAATACATGGCCTGACAAACATATGGAAGTCCAAATTAGCCCCGGAGAAAGAAAAAGTTCTCAGCTCTCCACTAAGCAAGGCCTCAGTAAAAAACACAAACAACAACAATCAAACAACAAAAAAAATCCCCCACAAACAAACATAGGTGACCTGCCGAGTCAGTATCTGTTCTGAACCTGAGAAACTTAAATTCTCAGGAGACGTCAATGGAGCAGCACATCAAGTTCACGGCTGCACTCCACTCCTGTAAGAAGCTTTTCAAACCTAAGGACCTCCCATTCTACTAAGAAGCAAAAGTTTGCTTTGCTTTTTTGCAAAGACTGCACCTTCACTCTGGGCTCCTGCACCTCAGCGCACTGTCAGTGTGCATGCTAGGCTTGTTAACACATGAAAAAGCAAAACTCATCAATTGTCTTCAGCACCATCCAGCTTTAGTTCTTGACTTGTTAGAAGAGCTCTGCAAAACTCTCAACTGTATCATGGCACATCAATGTGACAGGCCAAGAAAGACTCAGACTACTTCGGATCAGACTGCTGGACAGTCTGATCTGAAGTCTAAACTCTTCCAGGAAGGGATAACACAAACAGTTTAGAACGCTAATCCCATCAGAGCTGAGATTATAGAATGGTTTTGTCTGCTGGTCTGGAAGCCAGACAAAGATTTGTGTCTCCAAGAAAGGTTACTGGTACAGATAATTCTCTATCCCCATAGCCTCTAAGCAACAAACTATTTCAGCTCTTTAGAATCGTACATACAAACTCAAATGTTGGCTGGAAAAGGACCTGTGGAGATATTTAATGCAAATTCTGACTCAAAGCACGCCCAGTGTCAATACTAGATCACACTGGCCCTGGTTTTATTTAGTCAAGTGTTTAAAACCTCGCAAGATGGAGATTCTACAACGTCCACAAATGCCCTACTACAATGCTGGAATATCTACCTAAGAAAGTTTTTGAGGCACCCCAAGAGACACAGGTTGCATTGTGTGCCACTGCTAAAAATAGCTTGGCTGTTGTTGCTAACCTTCCTTCACCTAGTCCTCGGTGGCTACCAAATTCCCCCTCAGCCTGCTTTTTCCCAGACAAAAGACAATCCCCCCTCACAGGAGCTGCGGGTCTCCAACATTCACGTTAGATCTCTGACGCATCAACGGAACTGGTCAACACAAACCACTGCGCAGGAGACTCCACCCCAAAAGGCAGCTCTGGGCTCAGGTTTATCTAAGACTGTGTGTCAAGTTTAGCCCAATGGGACCCCAGAATGTGACCACAAGATAGAGCACATCAACAAGGAACTGGCAGGGAGAGCAGAGAGGTCAGGTTTAGCAGGCTTACCCCTGCTGTTTATATTCTGGTTGGTCTTTGTAGGCTCCTTACCAGAACTGCTGCTCTGTTCAGAAGTTTTTAGCAGCTTGGTACTTGAGGCAGTAACATTTTCCTCAGGTATGAATGAAATCTTCGGTAACAAAGAAGCAGCTTCTGCAGAGAACCTTACTTTCACACTAAATAAAGAAAGTTTTTACACAAAATGAAAGCTAATCAACATTCATGAAGAGACTGTCATAGCATACATATATCCAATAAAGGAAAAATCAACTTGACTTTCTTTTTTCCCCACCTCAGCAAAAGTGCAGGCACTTGATCATGACTTACAGCAATCTGGCATTGAACTGATCACTGTGGGAGAATCCACACTATACATTTACACCAAATACAAAAGCAGCTGAAAAACATTTATTCAGTTTTGATAACCAGAGTCTCACTAAAAAATACATTTCCACACAAACAGTTATTGTTCTTTGAAAAGAAAGCAACACAACCTCAAATAGATAATTTCAGAGAAAGAATAAAATGGCATATTTAGTGCCAGAGCTTCAGAACTGATGCAGGGTTTCACACCTCCAGCACAGTTAAGGTATAATCCTTTTGCCCTATGTCCCCTGAGCCATCCAACATACAGCAGTTCTTGGACCTTTTCATACTGCAGATGTTCTTTCACTGTCACCTCTACTCAACTCTCATGTAACCCATTAAAACATCTAAATTAGATGCACAGTAGCTTTTTAAGACCTTAAAGAAATCTAACAAGTATTATATCAGCTTCAACTAGAGAAATAACTTTAAAGTGTAGCATATACTATTTACTCACACTTCAGTACTGAAGTCCAGAAGTAAGATTACAACAGAAACATCTTGCTCTGTTTTCTTTTTCAAGATACAGTAATCCACTTCTTCATCCTGGTAATATAAGCCAAACATCTCCTGTTCATTCAAAATGGGACACGCCCCTCCCCAGTAAAGGTTATCATTCTTAGTTCTGCAACTTGTAAAACTGAATTATCCTTAACAACCTGCCCATGTCTAAAGGCTTTTTCTTTTTTACTTCTTCCAAATATTCCTGGAATAAGGTAGACTGTGAGATGTCCCCAGCTTAGAAAAGTAAGTCCCTATCTCTTACCAGGTAAGTGGAGAACCCATCATTTCTTGTTCGATCCAAACTGAACCCCACCTGTGAGACAATTGAGAAGAATCTGTCAGGTAACAGCTCAGGTTCCCCTGGCATCAGAAGCCAAACCACCATGAAAAGAATTGAGGATACTGCTCTCTGAATAAATTAACCTACATTAAAGGCATAATCCAAATTTTTCTCATTATCTAATTAGACATAAAATTATTCACATAATAAGCTTAATCTTCATCCATATCCACCAAGAATGAAATACTAGTTCAAACCCAAACTAGTCTTGAGTACCTTCTGTCCCTGAACCTTTTAACTTCAGTATTTCTCCAGATGTTTTGGCTAAAGGAAAACACTTTAAACTTTTAATAACAAAAGGTCGAACTGTGCAAGAGTAAGAACACAAATCTGTTTTCTATTCTAGTATTTCAGTCTATTGAAATCACTGATATAATGTGCTTATATAACACATAATGTTAGAGTTCTCTAAAAATACGTCAGTCACTGTTCTGGAAACCTCAAGATAGAATCATTACAAGATGCGCTGCGGTACAACAAGACAACAACGGGACAATCTCACATCAGAGGACTGCTTAAGAAACCCACGTTCAATATAGGCTATAGATGTGTGCATCGAGCTCCGTAGAGGATCCAGTAAGATAAAATTTATACTTAAAGCAGAATGGGTAGTGCTGAAGGATAAATCTCACAATATACCTATCCTCATAAATGGCTCTGAGCAGAGAACAAAGCCAGCAGCACCACCAGTTAGGACCCAACACCTCAAAGGACTTAAGGCATCCAACGTAAGGCAACTTCCCAGGAAGCTTAATACAGTCATTGGACTCAAAGTAACTCACTAATAATTTATCCTTGTCATTAATGTCCACAGGTGGCTTTAATGAAAGGTTGCTGACATTGACTTTCATGAAACCATCCTTGAAGAAGCCAAAGGTGTTGAGGTGCACTTTCTGCCTCACATCATCCTGTAAGAAAGGAAACCAAGTTTACAAATCACACACAGTGATCTGCAGCAGCAGTCAAAGAGGAAGCAGGGTGATAGAGGCCGACACTTAAGTATTTATGTAAAATATCTACCCAACCACACCAAGAGTAAACTTGTTTAGGATCCCTTCAGATATAACCAATTACTTCACGGGAATCAAACTCTTCCAATAACCCAAACAGCAAGAACTTTAAATAAACAAGTCTTTGCTAATTACCTGGCTATGCTAGTGACAAATATGCAAGAAAGTCTGGAAGAAATTAAATATCCAACATCACTCAAACACAATATTGCTAGGAAAAAAAAACCCACAACAACTGTAGACAAATCAAGACAACTACTGTTTGAAAGCTAGGTACTGTCATTACAACAGACTGAAGAGGAATTAGTTGACTACAGTAATCTTAGCTAAGTGAGAGTTGGGTTTTGGCTAAGTGTTTAACAAGTATCAGAGTGTACTGTCATCCCATCAGCTCTCCTATGTTAGGCAGAGTCCAAGACATAACACACTGGAAAATTATGGGTATGGGATAGACGAAAAAATTTATGTAGTTCCATTCCTCAAAATGATTTTTAGCAAGGCCTGGCATCTTACAGGTAGGATAAACCCCTATTACTGGATATGTGGGTTCAAACACTATCACTTGGGTTAGTTTCTCCAACAGGAAAATCCCAATCTCCCTCTTCTGCTCCCAGTCTTAGCTGCAGGGTAATTTACTTCCTCTCAGTCTGTCAAGGAAACTGTAGAAATTGATCCTGTTCTTCCATACCTCACTCAGCTGGATAAAGGTTAAAGTACAGCAAGCTTTCTTATTTTTTAAATAAGGTCATCATGAATCACACATGAAGTCATCAACATTATACACAGTTGCCACATCAGATGAGGAAAGAGCATATCTTTTTTACTCTGCATTCATAAATCAAAAAATAAGTATGCAGCTGGACCCTTAATCAGTAACTGGACAAAAAGCAGTAACAGAGCAGTAAAACTAGCTGACACTAAAACTAACTAAATTCTTTCTTCCTCCCAAATATTAATGACATATGGCTCACAGCAGATGCGTTGTTCAACAGTGTTACGGCTGTGCTGTCCTCAGGCTCTAGGTCATGTAATGTGCTTGAACAAGAGCCCACATGGTTCCTTTAATACTGCTTTTGATATAATTTCCTAGTCAGAACAGAAGATTAATTCTAGTTCTTTATACAGCACATCATACATATTTAACTACATCTGAACAGAGAAGCATCTGTCTGGCTGATTACGCAAAGGTGAAGTGTCATCCAGCCACAAGGTTTTCTGCACCTTGTAAGCACAACCAGAGAGCTGAATTCAGCGTCCTCGCAAAAACTGCTCAGTTCAATATAAGCTTAATTTACTCTGCTAGTTTATTAATATGCTCCCCAGCAACAAAAGATAATTAATATACACCACACACTTTCCTCCATGGTTTTATTTTACACCAGCTCTCAGTGCTTAAGAGTTTACAGATTTAGTTCACAAATCCTTCAGCTTCACATGATCCCCCACACGCTGTCACCAGTTGCCACCAAGCGACAGCACGCTCTCCAAGAGCGCCTGCGGCTCCACACACTGACAGCTTAGAGATACTGCTTTACTAACAGTTGTCTCACCTCTCACAGGAGGCTTAAGTGGGAAGAATTCAGTTTTTATTTATAATCACTCACCTGCCGACTTCAAAAATATTCAACTGCAAGTTTACAAGAAAGGTGGGAACGCATTCAAGTGATACTCAAGCATCTGAGTTGTTAGCATACACATTATTTGAATTTACACAGGATGCATTTAACAGCTAAGCCTGTCCCTTTGAGAAGGGACAACCTGGGACTCATCACTAACAGGTTAGTCAAACCAGTACAGTCAGTTCTCAGCTTATTTCCCTGAAAATCTCCCCCACTTCTTCCACTCCTTTAGGATAAAAATTGATCCTGCAACATCTGAATAAGACTACAGGAAAGTAGTATCCACGACCTTGTAGTCCAGAATGGGCAGAAAAATATTCTTCAAATTTTATCCAAAATCTAATCAGGAACATGCTGTCAGTACAGTGAAAGTTTCAGAGAGTGCTTACCTTTACAGTGAAGGAACTTTATCAGTTCCGAGAACAATAGCAACACTTCTAATTTGTGTTCAGACTAAACAAACATTGAAAAAGGTGTTTTCAACTCACACAATTGAAGTCTGAAACCTACCAACATTAAAAGGCCACAAGTATTTACAAACAAACACTGAAAAATAGCATCTTCTAAATAATAATTTAGCATGAAACTGCAATCTTGACAGTATTCTTACATATGAGAGCTACTTCTCTTTTGGAAGGCAGTTATCTGGAAGGATAACTCAAATTAATCAGAAACTACTACAGGTGCTGCACAGCATTGTCAGTTGGATGGTTCCTCTTCAGCTCTTCACTAGCATTAAACTTCACTGCGTGCCTAATGAAGGCCTCGTTTGACCAATTTCCCCATTTTCTGAGACTGTTTGCCATTGCATTACACAACAAATAAGGCTTCAATACCGTGGCAATCAGCTGTTAAGAAAAAAAATCTTATTTTTTGGTCAAGTGAAACACTCCAACTACCAGCTCCTTCTGGAAACCTGACAATTGTTTCCACCAGTCTTCTAGCTTCCATTTTTGTAGGTTTAGGGGTTTTTTTTGTTTGTTTTTAACATATTAAACTAACAAAGCTGCTAACAATTACTGCTCAGGAAGAGAGTCTCCTTTGACAAGGTTAGTTTAACAGCAAGATTCAAACAAATGGTTTTTCTAACTCAGAAGAAATAAGCCATTTTGTAGATTTATAGAGACAAAAAGTTATTTCCCGAACAGGAAACCACTCATATCATGGCCTGCTTTTCTAACAACAAAAAAGCTTCACCTTAACATACTAACTACAAAGACGCAAGAATGAGGCTATTCTAACTGAAGCAATAAAAGCTTGTTTGAGGAAACTTAATATCAAAGGCACACAAAGCTGTGGCCTTTAGCTTGGCACAGTGTCAAAGCACACTTCAAGCAAGACGCCAACGGCAAGAACACTAGGAGAGAGATTTCGTCGTGAAAGGGTACAGTTGTTGGAGCCTGGTGTTTACATCAACGCTGTACAGCGGTGGATGAAGTAGACAGGGAGAGACTGTGCTCTAGAGATAAATCTCATTTTATACAGGAGGTGGACAAAGGCATTAACCCACTTCTCCTTTCAGCAGTGCTTGGTAGGTCACTGGTGCAGCTCACACAAAATACCTGCAAGAACTAAAACCATATCCCACTTTGATCGTAAAAAACCCAGCAAACACAGTTTAGCAACTGGTCTGGGAGACTAAGAGAGACTCTAATAGGAACTAGAAACTGTAACACTTGCTGCTGAGAACATTTGCTTGAAGACAGTTTGAAAGTTTTCTATGTAAGGAAAAACTATCGCTCCAGCAGAAATTCTTCCAGCAGTCAACTGTTGGTCACAAATTCCTCAGACAATAATGTAACCAGCACAAACCTCATTTATTGCTTCAGACACAAAATTAGGTTTTTTTTGAAGCTACTTGTGTGCTTGCACACTAGGTAACTACATAATCTTGAAAATTCCCTGCAAATAAGTCCTGAATGTCCCCCTTGCTTTCTCTGTATCCCAAAGGCTGAAAGGGAACTCCCACAAAGCTTTGGCACTCTCCCGAAACTGCTACAAGAACATGGCAATGGTGGTCCTAGTCATACACCACTTGATTAACCTCTTCTAAAGTTTCTATTGCCAAAACACTGCACATTTTTGACAACACAAACACAACTAACAACCGCATGCTAAAAACACAGAGAGCATTTAGAATTATAAAATCACAGGATGTGTTGGGTTGGAAAGGACATTCAGAGGCCATCTAATCCTTCCTGCAGTGAGCAGGGACATTTTCAACTAGACGAGGTTGCTCATACCCCATCAAGTCTGACCTTGAATGTCTCCAGGGATGGGGCTTCCACTTCCTCCCTTGGCAACTTGTGCCAGCGTTTCATCACTATCATTAAAAAAAAGTTCTTCCTGATTTGCAGCCTAATTCTACCCTCTTTTAGCTTAAAGCCATAACCCCTTGTCCTGTCACAACAGGACAACAGGACAATAGGCTCTCTCTAAGTACGGGAAGGCTGCAGTAAGGTCTCCTTGGCGCCTTCTCCAGGCTGAACAATCTCAAGTCTCTCAGCTTTTCATGAACTATACAGAAGCCCTTAAGTGTCACCCCAAACGAACAGTTCCTCTACCACATAACAACCATGCAGTTTTTCAAACACAGCAGTGCTCCAGAGCTGCAGGCATCTACCACAGTCTGCATCACTTCCTAGCAACAATCCCCAACAAACAGTTCTTCTCAAATATACTCACAGGACAACACGACAAAGCACAGTCAAAAGCCTATCAAACTCAAACTGAGAACTGGCAGCATCAGGATCTTCTGGTTGTACCGACTGCTTGATTAGTGCAAATAAACTCCATCTGGGAAGGCAGTAAGTGAGGATGCAGCCTTTCAGAGCCAGGCAACCAGCAGTCAGGGCAGGAAGACCAGAGCAGAGAAGAGACTGAAAACAGCCCGAAAACCCTCAGAAACCTCCCCGCAGCTCACACCCACATCTCTCTCACAGCTTTACCTCGCTTTTAACGGGGCGGGAAGCACTCGCACCCTCAAACCGCTGCAGTTCGAAGGTCCCTTCACACTCCTTCCCCACGAGTAAGAAACAAACGGCCAAAAAACCCGCCGGGCTGGGGGCTAATGGAA